CATAAAAAGCACGAGCAGGGACTTCAGAAGGCWATACATTCAGGATGAATGTTCCCTACAGAACTGGTCCATTTCGAGTCTTAAGCCACTCAGCACAGCCCCTTAAAACCACTACTCTTTGTATTTAATATTAATCCCAGATTATAAAATGCCAAAATCCCTCTTTCCAACTGCCTGCTCAAAATCCCTCATTCTCCTGGAAATACTTCCCATAGCATGCTGCAGAGCTACATTATAATGGAAAACTGAGCTATAAGCTGTATTGCTGGACAAGCCGACGAGCCTGCGCAGAGAAACCACATTAGCAGAGCATTAGGATAGGAAGGTGTGTTCGAGTTATGTCAGTCATGTACAAGGGGCCTGAGTGTCCTTCCTACAGCAYGACACATGCTGCATTTAATGGGCCTCATTCCTCTTGAGCCTCCTGCGCTAGTTCCCGCTTTTAGGAAACCTAAAGGATTAAGAAACTTAAATCAGAGACATGACAGGCAGCATTTCTATATACTTGTGCAGTGAGGACAACTATTAAAAGCACAAGAGTTTTGAGAAACAGGTTGTACAGAGAAGAGGCTGTGCCCTTTTGAAAAACAGAGWCAAATGTTTGTAAATTTGGTACAGAACATGCAATTATAGCTCAAAAGCTTTCAGAATCCCAGGACTGGTGTAGAAGGAATGATACCAAACAAAATAATAACATRGCCTTGTTAGTTGCTGCTTTATTAAAACAAAACTAAGTTTTCAAATGATCCAGGGCTGGATCTTTGGAAAAATCTCTCACAACACTTGATAAGTGTGCAACTCCACAAAAACTGCTCCAGAGCAGTTTCAGGTTTGCTTTTAACCCGTTTAATTAGCAGATTCAATGTGACATCAATCCTACAGTCTTTCCTCTAAATGTGTCTATTGTCCTCAAGGAGGGGAAAATGAAAGACAGGTAGCTTTAAGTTCTGTCAAGCATCAATTGATTAGATCCAATTTACAACATTCATCAAATGCAATCTTAGTTTTCAGCTGCAAGCTCAACCTCATTAGTATCCAACAGAATTTTTGCAGCACATGCCAATCTGTTCTGCATTAAACTACAAGCAAACAAACAAACACGGAACATACCTGCATATATCCAGAAGACCCAGGTCTTAGCACTTGTCATCAAATGCAACAATCCATTAGGCCAAACTCTATATTCTCTGACGTTAACAGAMTATCCAAGGTATATACCCAGACTAGACCAAACTAGATTTGTTTCTGCTGCCCAGTCTACTACTTTCTTAGCTCTGTCATTGTTTTGCCTTCTTTTGGACCAATTCTTAAAATATGTGGCAAGTTACAACTTACGCAAATAATCTGCAAATTTAACTTTTATTTACTGAATGTCATTCACCATGTTAATTATGCAGTGCCTACAGCCCTATGAGGTGAAATGATTTTCGCTAGTATTTTATTTAAATGTTACTTTAAAAAGTAAGTTCTAAAGATACAGGCACCTCCATTACATATGTGCTTTGAAAGTATTTTAAACTTTGAAGGAACACAGAACCTTCCATTCCATCCTGAGGAACTGTTTGTTTAAACAAATGGTTTTATTCTTCTCCCACCTTATCCCTGCTTTTTGCAAAATTATCCCGCTGACTGTACAAATCGAAGGATGTTAGACCTTGAAATCCACTGGAATGCTATCAGACCTGCTATTTGCATGGTTATGGTCACATAAATAAAGCATCAATTAACTTGATATACAGAGYATAGAAAGTAACAGAAATCATAAAGCCATCTATAAGTAAAGTAGAAAAAGAGCTCCACTGTCTTGTTGGAAAAACTGGACAACTGATAGGTATCACTCTAATTTCAAATAATTCATCCAGTAATGGGTAGAACTACATAAATATATGTAGAAGCCTGTACATTAATTCTGACTGTATTAAATTAGACGTATAATGACAACTGTGTATTACAGGTCATTAGTTCATGTCCCATAGCAACCATCATATTTTCCTTTGTGCTTGGCAAATTTAGTCTATTTGCAGATCTTTCACTTAAATGGATGCAAATTTTTAAAGTCTGGCTTTGACTTGTTTTATACCTCGCACTGTCTCTTCAGCTTTTGTTCTCCACTTACCAGACAAGTGTATTCCTCTGCCACCTAGTGCTTTCAAGTGATATATTTTAAATCCACCACCAGCTCTTGCTGAAATGTGCTCAACAGAGTATATATGGTTTCTGCAGAAATCTTTTATTAAAATTTTCTTAATGCTATATATCCTTTATGGCTATAATTCATCACTGCCATAGATGGCCTATATTTGTGCAGACCTCAATATGACACAACATCACTTAGCATGAGCATTCCTGGTATTCCAGGACATGACATGACCTGGGCTTCAATTGTAGTTAAAAAGAAAATAATTCCTTACAGGGAAAAAAATGACATAAAATTTTTATTTAATCATGAAATTTTCAGAAGACAAAGGAGTCTGTCTTCTGATAGCTACTGACAGGTTCCCATACTTTCAAAAGGGAAATTCTATGCCATACAATTATTTTTACTTGTTTTCAAATAGGTTCTGAARTACAGCATTTGTAGCATCCTGCTTGTTCTTACTAGTTTCAATTTATAGTTGCAAAAAAAATGTATGTAGATATATAGATATTACTGCACTTTGCGGGTTTTTTTTTTCAAAATATCTCCTAAAGACTTTCAGTTGCAAATGTTACTGCTGTAAATTTGGGATCATAAATTTAACATGAATTGGATTGAGAAAAGAATACTAGTAAGGCTAGAATATGCTAATTTTGATAAAAATAATCTGTCAAAGTACTTGATTACAAGTAAGCAGGACTTATCTCAAGTAACAAACAGGCTATGCCTGTTTCATGCAATGTTTTCAAGGCATTTTGGATTAAGAGTGTTGTGCTCTCCGTGAGCAACGCTAWCTGTGTAACTGTTAACAAAGGTAAGCTGGGAAAGTGAGTTTTCCTTTCCTCATTCTCTTTTGAAGTCATTCATCTAAGCAAACTGTGATGATTCAGTGAAGATCACTTTTTCTCTGGTATGCTCTCAGCTCTACATAAATCTCAAATATATCCCTATTGTTTCTATTTTTTCTTTTAAAGAGTACAAATACCAGACTTTTCAGTCTTTTTCAGTCTGGTATTACACACAGAAGCACAGTATGAAACATAAGTGGGTTACTTGTCCTGTCCAACCTGCACACAAAAGCACAAAGGCTATGAAGTGGATGGCCACCTAAATGTGGCCTGGCAAGGACATTAAAATATGTAGTGGTGACACAGACTACATTCACTRATGTTTCTTAAGAAAGCTGCTGTAAAGTGTCCTCATTGCTATAATGCCACTGTAATTCAGACAGGTAACTCACTATGCTGCCAACTGTACTTACTACTCCATTAGCAAAAGCCACTTGTCCTCTGTCATTCATGTATAGAAATTAGTGTTCAGACTTTTAAAAATACCTGTGAAAATGTGTCTAAGAAATTAAGCCATGAGCCTCTCAATGCTCTGAGCTAATTTTACTTAATTTTCTCCATAACCATTGTCAGAATCAGTAATATAAAAATTAACAAAAAAAATCAACCAATAGAGGGGGGGRAAAATGGTGGTAGGAGGGAAATCTTCCTTCAAGTCTTATAACCTTACTGCTTAGTTCATCTCACCTCAAAGTCTGTCTGTCTCATCCCATCCAGCTTTAGCACATGACCTTCCAGTCTGCATCCTCCTGCCCGCTACCTTTTATTGGCTTCATTTCTAAATAGGAAGTGAAAAACAGACAGGCACTGGGATAAATCCTGTTTAGAAACAGAGAAATGGGCTCACTGCTTAGATATTGTCAACTGAATAACATCAGCACCCACCAATATTCATTATTCCCTTAGACTACAGAGGAAATGTAAGATTCCTTTTAACATCTGCTCCTACAACCCTACCAGTTGTATTTCAAAGCACGGAATCCAAAATGAGCAAGGCAAAAGTGAAGAGCTACAGCACTCACACCATCTCATTCCTTAAGCTGGCATAACCCCAAATGGGCTGGGTCACATAGAAACGAAGGCTGCTCTGAGATGCAGCAGCCTCCTCTTKTATATTCCTGCTGTCTTTGCCACAGGGTTCCTGTCGCTGACATGTGCCCAGTTGCACAAAACCAGAGATTGGGTTTTCTGGTGACATAGCTCTCCAAACCAGGACATCACAGAGTTGCATAGACATGAGTGGTAGGGAAAGTGTAAGGAAAACATGGGCAGGTTTGGACCAAATCTGCATTTTTGATCAGGAACCAACTCTTAGACTGGTTGAGTTACACCAATTATATAAATTAAATGCCATCCTAAAACATTTACTCTCACTCTTAAAAGCCATGGTGCTACTTGCATGGCTAAAATCCAAGTGAAATGCAGAGCTCGCAGCTCTTCACTGCGTCACAGCATCAGACAGCAGAGGGCAGAGCCTCCCTCTCCGCAGCAGATGCCCAAGGCAGGAATCGCTCCCTGCTCCTTTTCCTGTTCCAAGCACACACCCATCAGTTGTTACATTTCCAATCACTCTTAAACGGAGAACCACAGCGTGCTTGGAAAAGGAGAAATCAGCCTATTCATGTAGGGTATTCATGCCCTTGTAGGGCATGTTTTATATACGGGCAACAACCAGAAATGCTGAACCTACAGTCTGATACAGTGAAAAGTCAAAGGGAAGGGCAAAAAAATGCAGCAAAGACTACTTTGCTCAAATCCAGAAATATCACTGAGTTTCTCAAACAGCTGCATTGGAGAGAGATCCAGGCCGTGAAAGTTACCAGGGAACTGTTGGGGAGATAGCCAGGTAACTGCTTCTTTTCTTGTAAAACCTATTTTTTAATCTCAAAAACATTGTTTTTAATTAGCACCTTAAAAAAAGCAATCCCCCTATGAATCTTTATATACTTTATTTTAGATATATGAATGTTTTATCACTGTTAAAAAAAAAAGTTATGTACAAAAACAGTAGATAACACATTAACATACATCTTATTTTTTGTGCAGTAAGCAAATATCCAAATCCAGGTAGATTCCAATTTCTCTTTAACTGTGACTGCTATGTATGAATGAGAGACATTCACCACCCYGCACTATGGGACTAACACAGGACTGCAGTCTGATATGAAACAAACTGTTTCAGGCAAACTTCCCAAAAGTTGATAGGTTCATATCAGCAGTGAACACAACAAGGAAAACGGTCTTCAAAAGCACCATMTTTCTTGCTGGAGCAACTGTTTTGGTTTACATTGCTTCTATAACCTCAGTTTTGGGCAAACCAGGACGGGCGCTTCCTGGCTCTTTCAATGATCCGCTTGCCTTCGTCTTTTTCTGAGGGCTGTTCTCCATCATAGAGCACCACAGTTTCCACAGTGGGAGCTTTGAACGGTCCCCCTTCCTGTTTCTGGATTTCACGGCGTATCTCCCGAGTTTCTGCTTTGACCTTGGCATAGCAGTAGCCACAGAGGACATGCTTCAGCTTCAAGTGTCCACATTCAGGGCAAACATCTATGTTTCTCTAAGAAAGAAAGTAGAAAATATGAAATTCTGCAATTTAAAAGAAGTGACAGGAAAAKACCATAAAGCTGTAATACACGTAAGTGAATTATAAGAAAAACTCAACCATCTTTTCAGATAAGCTAAATACCTTTTTTTTTCAGTATACTACTGCTCAAATGCTTGTTAGTGTAAGTAGCCTATAAAGTTAACACCTATATGATTTTCCTTAGCAATGTTTGGAAACTGCAGGCCTACAAACTCCTTCATAAGTACAGAGAGCGCAGACCTCTGGCATTTATTCTAACTGCTGGTTCGTTTTTAAAGCGCTCACCTTTTATTTAACCACAGCCTGTCACTGCACTTTCTGAATACACATTGCAACATGTTTTGAGAAGTACAGTTATCTGAATACACCTATCAATCAACAAATTCCAAGGAGCTGCTTCAGWCAGTAATGACCATTAGCACAAACGAAATCCCTAAAACAAGAAAAATTTAAAAGCCCTGGGATAAATTKGACCTCAGCTTGCCTGCTCGTCATTGCTAAGGCTGCTCGCGGCAAGCACGRGGGGAAGGCCACGCGAAGCAGCTCGTTACCTTCACTTTAATGAGCTTCCTGGGGTCCCTGCGCCGGCAGCGGTTCACCTCTATGGTGCGCCGCTTCTTGGGGGCGGCCATCCAGAGGACGCCCTCCCAGGAGCCGGGCTCCTCGCCGCCCTCACCAGCGCCTTCTGCTGCCTCGGGAAGCGCCACGGGCGCCTGGACGGCCAGGGCTGGCCCTGCAGGAARACAGGGCGAGTCGCATTACAGGTGACCCCCCCTTTCTGCCGAGCAGGTATCACGTGAGCACCGTTAATGCTGCCTCCGCCCCGCCGCCAGCCGTTAACGGAAATCAACCGCCTCCGCAGCCGCCACGCGGCCCCCACGGCGCCCTCCCCGCGGCGGCCGCACGCACCCCAGGGCAGGTCCCAGCGGGACAGGTCCCAGCGGGGCAGGTCCCAGCGGGGCAGGAGCCCGCGCTCCAGCCGCCCCCAGCAGCGGCGGAGCAGAGCGCGCAGTGGCGGCAGCGGCGACGGGAACACCAGCAGCGCCGCCATAGCGCTGCCGAGCGCGCGGAGGGGCGGGCGGCGCGCATGCGCCCCCGCCGCTAGGCCTGCTGGGAGACCGAGTGCCTCGAGCCACCCGCAGCGCGGCGGGGAGGGCGCCTGGGACTTCAAGTCCCAGCATTCCCGGAGGCGGAGGAAGGGAGCGGAACTTCCAGCACGCGGCAGCGAGCGCCTCTCCTCCGATCGCGCTCTCCCTYCGCCAATCAGCGCTCCAGCCGCCTCACACCTCCCGCCGGAAGGGGCGGGGCAGCCGCGGCGGCGGCGCGTGCGCAGAGGCAGCGGCCGCGGGCAGCGGAGCGGGGCTGCGTCCAAGATGGCGGAGCGCGGCTACAGCTTCTCGCTGACGACG